AACCTTTCCCGCAGGCATCACTCATGAGACGTGAAAGCCCATCTGAGGGACAGTCTTAAACAAAGACCTCAAACACACGATAAAGCAATATGTATCCTTTAAGAATAAGACAGTCTTTAAATTTTTATTCAAGATGGTGGACGGAATGAATACAATTATTTAAAAAATACATATATATTACGCAGTAGTGAAAAATACTGCTAATTTAAAGCTAAACAATAATTATTACCAAGACCTTGAAAATATGAAAAGCTTATTCGCACTAAGTATTTATGCATAAAAATGTTTTGTTATCATGCATTGAAGAATTTACTGTAAAAATATGAAAATTAATAAAAACAAAGTTATGTCTTTTGCATATTAACTCTTTATATGACCTTGGAGTTGCAGGGTTCTAAAGCATTACTATAGAGATTAGCATAGAAAGTGACAGAGTTCCTGTAATAAAAATCTGAGTGCTATAAGCTTAACCAGAATTGATATTTTGCTTACGATTATTGACAATGACTCGATAGTTTTTATTGCACAATAGATTTTGGTTTGATTTTGGGATAGGATATCAGCCAGTAAATACCTATTTTATCTTAAAAGATTCTTAAAAAAATCCTCATCCTGTCAGTAAGTTGTTGTTATATCAGTTTAACTTCTTTAGGTATGTGTTGTTGGTGATGGGGGTTTTGATTGGTGCCATTTGCATGATTTGACATGTCACTCTCAGCAGACTGCTAGAGGAAAGAAAATGACAAAAGTGTGGGAAATTTTTACATTTTTATTTTTTACCATAAAATTAAAGTAGGCTACTTTAATTGCCAGTTTATTCACTGTGATCAACCAGCCTTTTGTTTTTGCACTTAGGCAGAATTTTTTTATTTTATTTATCAACCTGTTAATTATATTTATCAACCTGGTTATCGGTTTCCAAATATAAAGTTATATAGTTATAAAGTTATCAGCATCAGCCAAAATGTTTTAATTAGTGCATTGCTGGGTTAATTTACATTTTCACAATGCTATGATCAGTTAGTTTCCTAATATACTTAAAAGTGCACATCTTTTTTGTCTATTATTACTTTTACATTGGTGAAAATCACCAACTAAGGCAACTGAAAATGTGAGTGGCCACAGTAGAATATACTTGAGTTGGACATGTTGCTTGTCTCATATGGACATTACTGTTTGCATGACCATTAGCATCTGTCCATGAAGAGTGTTGCACAACCATAAATTGGGTTTCCCTGATGGCTAAGATGCATCATTAAGTGGGGTTCATTCAACACATTATCAGCATGCTTTTGGCATGATCTGTTTGATGGAGGGTGTGCTGGTGATCTGTAAATGTAAGTGGACATAAGAATTGTTTTATTTTGAATAGCATGTCACAGGGGACCAAAATTGATCTGGTTTTTATCCCATTAATGATGTCAACCAATTGGAGCACTGGAGCTCCTCATTATAGAGCTATCAAACATGGTTAAACAAGAAAATGGTACTGGTCAGCACCAGATGGATTTATACAGTGGATTTATACAGGTTTGTGAAGCTGTGACATCAGTACTCATGTCTTAAAAGTCCTGGTATGCTTCAAAGTTCTTTTTTTTTTGTTCTTCGTTTGTGGGCAAAAATAATTTTGAAAAGACTGAGTGACAGTAAACTGTTTTCGAACACTCTTAACAAACCTGCACTGCAGGAGGCAGTGTTGTAAATGTTTTAAGCTGCCTGCGTTTTCCCCAAAACACAACAATAAAGGCTGTTTGAGAAGAACCATTTAATAAACAACTGACAGACAAGCTACATCACGAGAAGCGCCAATGTGGCACACCACATCTTTAGATTGTTTTCTATTTGTCATGGACAGACAGCGGATAGCACTGCGAATGCACTCAAAGAAAAGATGTGCCGCAACAAAGCAGGCTTGATCATACAGGTGCGGATACATCTTTACCAGCTTCGCTAATCTCCAGTGTATTCATATGGCTAGTGTTGTTGGTTTGTATGTTGGACTCATGTTGAATGAAAAAATATTAGGAAAAAAACACCCACCGATTGCATAATCGCCACAGACCAATGATAGCTCAAAGGTGTTTAAAGGCTAAAATTAACTCTCCCACAAGGTTACTTCGGTGAGCTGTTTTGAACTCCATAAACTTAAAGTGAACTTTGTTTTGGGTGAATGTTGTTTGAAATTGAATAATTTCAGTTTAGATTACAATTTCGTTTAAGGTATACCTTCTTGTTAGGGACTTTGTGTAGAAAAGATAGCTTGCACAAAGTGTATTGTGTTTGTAGCCATTGATTCATTGATTACACTCTAATTTCTGAAAGAAGGATGCCAGTTCTGCCTCGTCATAATAATAAGCACATAGATAAAGATGACAAGCAATGATTCATTGGGATGCAACGTGTATGACACTTCCTGTCTTTGACACACAGATACAGACACAGACACATCTGACACCATGACAAACATAATCATTGTGTTATCATAAACATAATCATTGTGTGTTTTGAGCTTTGCATTAAAAAATAGTAGATAGTGTGTAAAGACAGACATGAGAGGTCATACATACTTTTAACAGTAAGCATCATGCTTTTGCTGATGTCTGATCCCACTCCATTGCTGGCCTGACACAAGTAGTATCCCCGATCTTCTTCTAGAACATGGCGGATCAGCAGAGAACCATTGGATAGGATTTGAATACGACCTGTCAGTGGAACCGGATGGTACTGCTGGGGGTTTCCTATACCTTTAAAAACAAATTGAAGTTAATCACTGGCGCATAAAAATGTTTAAATTCATGTTTCAGCCATGCAGTAGCAAATTGTTACCTTTGGCATGTTTCCAAACAACTTTGGGTGGAGGGTACCCTTCAACAGAGCAGTTTAGAACCTCTGACTTGCCATAGATACCATCCTGGTTATTAGGCTGAACCCGAAAGCGAGGGGGAACTACAATGAAGAACATATTATTTTTGTAAATTGCATAACCAAGTGTTTAGCCTATATAGACATATTTTGGTTGATATGGATATTCGTCAAACAAGCTGTAACCCTGAAACAAGTAGTCCTGGTCTAGAAAAGTATTTCTAAAATAACAGTAAAGCTTTTTATTTTACTTTCCTAATCTATAAACCTCTTCTCATTGCTCACCTGTTACTATTAGTTGTCGCTCTGAACTGACAGTTGCTGCGTCATTGCTGGCAATACAGGTGTAGTTTCCATTGTGCTTAAGTGAAACTTTAGAGATCTGAAGGGAACTCATGAACTCCTTGGTTTCGATGGTGACTCCTGCTGTTCCCGACACAATCTCCTGCCCGTCCTTTCTCCAGGTGATCCGGATTGGCATGTCTCCGGAGGACACCACACAGGCTATGTACATCAGCTTACCAATGGAGGTGGGAGGAAAGTCAAAGGGCTGGATAAGGGGAGGAACTGATGAAGAAAGAGAGGGACAGATCTTCAGTATCACAAATTTAATCCTCCATGGTTTGCAGTGTAATCCTGACCCCTATCACCCTCCAAAAAATGCACAGGCACAAACACGCTAACACACATCCCACCCCTCCAGCCCATAATAGCTGCTCTAATTAGAGCCCAATTGGCATGGGGAATAATGGCATTGCCATGGAAACAGAGGTGGGGGGCTCCATCGGAGACATCTGGGGGATTTAGTCTGGGGCTCGTTAAAATTCAGCTAATTAAATCAGAGACATGACAAGACAAGCAGCACACTATACTGACTTCACACTGGAGTCAGTGTTCTGTTGTACTAGTACACATACACATTCACGCAAATGAACACAGTAGACCTCACTGTCTTTGTACCAGGAGCTGTAGCCTCTTATATGGACACACATGGTGAAGTGAAGATTCAAAATCCAACCTCCTTTTCATTTACATTTAACATACTGAAAAATACCCCCCGCCTCATCCACCTCCATACACATGCTAAGTACACTGGATAATTGATGAATGGTTGTAATGCTGCGGAAGGCCTGTAATCCTGTTAATCAAAGGCTATTAGTCGTGTGCTTTCTCTCAGGGTCTTTGTGCCAGCTGAGGGGAAAGACCATCCTCAACCCTCACCGCCCACCTAAAGCTTAAATATATACTCATTCAAACACTACACCCTCAATTTACCATAACAGACAAATTCTGCCAACATAAACCAATAAAATTCATAAAAGGAATTGAAAAAGATATTGCATCCAGTGGGCATCTGTTCATTAAGTAAGAACATTTTCAAGAAATGGCAAGTCTCAAATGAAAGGTTTTTCGAAAATTCTTCATAAAATCAAGATACCCTGCTGCTTGGCTCAAATCCAAAAATACTCCCAGGATGGCCTTTTCACATCACGTCCATTGTTAATAAGTGACATTTAAGAATACAGTATTTGCATATTTCACACTAATAGATTCACATTTTTACTTTCTGAGAAAAAAAATATAATTCTGTGATTCTATTAGCGTTGTTTCCAATTGCTTCTTTGTTTTTTTTTTTAAATACAATTAACAATATACTTGAATATTTAGTTGTAAAACTATTTTATGCTTGGACAGATGGCAATTTATCCAAGTACCATGCTTGAATTTACTTCTCTTGAGAGCACCCCATTTACTCACAAATGATTGTAAAACCCGTGTGCATGTCTAGATTATTGATTTCATATACATGTGACAATGTAAGTGATTGGAACAGGGTGTCCAAAAACTTTTGCCAATATAATGTCATGCTTTCCCATATGTGTCATACTCAACTATTTGTGTGTTTTTGTTTGGTTAATAATTATGCACCTATGCAACAGCTTTACAATCTTCAATTTTCCCAAAAAACAGACCCCAAATCAAATTTACTGTGCCTTTTTCGGCTTTTGAATTAATATTGAAAGCATGTGACTTTTGCAAGGACTTAAACATTCCCTAAATGATAAGCAGTAAGCACCAACCTTTAACTGTGACATAGACAGTCTGGCTGATGGAGAGCTGGGGTTGGATGAGCACACTGCACAGATACGCCCCTTCATCCATGCCCTTCTGCACATCGCTCAACTTCAGAGTGCCATTCTCATATACAACCTGGCGATGGTTGTCTGGTAACAGCATCCCATCTTTATACCACTTGATGGAGTAATAGGGGTACCCAATCACACGACAATTAATGAATGTGTTACGTCCAGCCACAGCTGTAATGTTCCGCATGGCCCGGATACTGGGAGGACCTGCAAGAGAGAGAAGAGAGAGAGAAAGAAAGAAAGAAAGAAAAAAAGAAAGAAAGAAAGAAAGAGAGAGAGAGAGAGAAAGAGGAAGAGAAAAAAGAGGGAGAATGTGGAAGGTAGACAAGGGTAAAAGAGAAGGATTTGAGAAAGAGAGGGAGATGGGAGACCAGGTTTTGCATGGGTATTTTGGGTAAAGAAAGAGATATATGGGAAGAAGAAAGGAGAAGAGTGAGTGGTGGGGGGGGAGGAGGGGGTTAGAATGCCCTTGGTCTTCACAGCAGAGATTGTGGTGTAATAGTTGTGTGCATTTAAATTATCAATGTGTCTTGTACCATATCATTCATCGTAGCTTGGCACAATCCATGCCATCGTTTAAATTAAGCAACTAAATTAGAAGTGTTTCTGTGTAGTTATTTTAATAAGTTAATACATTTAAGAATGATAATTCTATGTGTGGCATAATCTTAACAATAAAATAGTAACCTAATGTGTTTGTGTAGGCAGAGTAAAATACATTACATTTCATAGCAATGTCCCAAAAACACACATTTAAAGGACTGAGGACTGTGAGAGCAGAGGCCTTAGAATGTGTTTAGCAAACTGCACCATGTTAAGCTAAATCTTGCTAGAGGAATAGATGCAACCATAGCATTATCTGCATTCACACTGAGAGTGATTCAATCATTGATATTTACCCTATTGAGACAGCATAATTGAGACTAATTTGGTTAGCTTAGTTGTAATATTCATTTACTTTGATTGTTTGGGGATTTTTTTTTTTTTTATCTTGTAAGACCTGCTCGGTCAGCTTAAAATCAAAGCTTTTGGCCTGTTGCACAAAGCTGTTTTAACCATCTAAGTTCAGGTTTAGTTTGAGCAAACTCTTGGTTTATGGGTACAAGAAGGTGAGTAGGTTTTAATTGTTTTTTGTTGCGTGTTAACTTTAGTGCCAACCTGCTCTGGTTTTATTCTGGGATAGAGGGCTAACCCAACTGAACCAATAAGCTGTAGGATAAAAAAGTGATATGATACAATAAGCCACTTCCTGTCCCTAAGTCTTTTTTACTCAAATTACACTGTAAAGCCTTAACCGTTTGAGTCATAATTGTCTTTTGTTGATGATTTATTCATATTATATGTGTAGTGCAATTTGCTGTTTTGCTACATGTGTCATACATTTAGCTGCATGTAGTCCAGAGTTGGAGTTAAAGAGCCACAAAAAAACAAAAAACAAATATGAACTGCCAGATCGGTTGAATGTGTACGCGCCTTTCCCTTCAGACACTAGTAGAGTATGAGGATTCATGGGATTGATTATGACGCGAAAATTACTATCACTAAAAGATGGCCAACATACAGCTGTGAGAAATAAGAGTTAAAGTACATTTTTACAACAACACCACAGTATAGCCAACCACGTGCTGTGTTTGGTCCTGTCATTTGATGGTCCTGTCAATGATGATTGATACAATAACCTACCCTGTAGCACGGGATTCTCCGCCCGTTTGTTAATAAAGGAAGAATCAGCAAACTCTACTAATGTGTGGGACTTTCTAAGGTACTGTTACACAATTTGTATGGATCAGTTTCTTCTTCTTGTGATTAATATGGTTGCCTCGTTTTCTGTAGTTTGCAAAATATGTATTGAATAGTGTGTTGTAACATGTAATTGTTCCATGCAGCTTGTAATCATGTATCTATTATAGATCAGTTGCCTGTATCTCTCAGGTTAAATCTGTATGGCCTATTTCACGTTTCGTGCCCCAAAACCATTTCCTTTACCAATTTAAATGTGTTTTGTGCTCGTGATGTCCTGCTGTTTGTTGCTATGGCCACCATCAGCTGTTCCTTAAACGTGTGGCACGGTCAATTTTCAAAATAGTTCAGATTTTATCACTGTGTGGATTAATACTGAATGTGTGTTGTTGTAATTACTTCGGGTTGTGGTTAAGAATAGAGGAATATGCTGAAGTTTAACTACATTGCGCTGAATGCAGTCGACCAATCACAATAGACTGGGTCATTGGACCAATCATAGCAGATTAACCTCATGCAAAGAAGGGGTTAGGGAACAAATGAATCGCTAAACAAATCATATAGAAATCATTGGGATTATTTGCTATAAAATAAATGCATAAGACAATTAATGTGTTTTTTGCCCTTGCACGGATATCAGCCTGTTGTTGGAGACTCCCAAAACCAAAATGGGACCTTTTATAAGGCACAATAGGGGCTCTTTAACAGAGAAGGTTTATATTAAGCTTTGTAAAACCACTGAAACTGATCTTAACCAGGTGGCATTTGTTTGGTTGTGTCAACTGTTTGTTCAACTCTTTTTGTGCAACAGGCCTCAGACCAGCATTTCAGCTTGGCCAGCTTCAAGCAAAACCTGTTTGAATAACGTTTGCACAAATCTCGTCACACATTTTGATCTCTAGTCACTTTACATTATCATTAGTGAAACAAGGTACTACAAATCGCTGTCACTGTGAATGCCCATTAATGCAATTAGCATATGCTAGCAACTTCTGGTTCATGCTACTAGCAAGACAAGTCAATCTGAAACACAAAATGTTTAGAAAAGATTATATGCTTTTGGTTTATTTCTTTTTGTGAATAGAGGATTTTCCACAGGACTCTGCTCTTAGATCACACACGAGGATGGAGGGGTGTATGAACACATGGATGGTAGGACACTGAAGATTTGCATGGCCGATAACTGAACATTCAAAAAGTAAAACAACAGAGACAAGGTGGATTGTGCAAAAATGAGGAATGAGAAGACGTACAGTAGAAGGACATTTTGTTTGCCTCAAAATGGAAGGTGGAACAGTTTATAAATCGTCGATGGGGCATATGGAGATTTTATGCACACAAATATTCTCATCCTCTCTAACAGCCCACTCCTCATCCTCATATCTCTCTCTTTCTCTGTTGCTCTCTCCCTTTCTCTCAGCTCAGCGTGCGTTGTGCTTTGAAGTCACCGCTCTGACAAGTCAACCCTGATGTATTATTCAAGAAGACTGTCGCACAGTATCCCCCTTCTCTCTTCTTCACAGTTATTCTCTGGCTGTCTTTCTATTTCTCTATTTTTCTTTTGTTCTCAAACATAATATATGAATGTATGAACTTAGATAAGGATCCAGACAGGAACTGAGCACTGCTATTGTGCTGTTCGTAGGAAGAATGGGCCTGATTGCTCACTGGTGTCTGTGTTTGCTAAATATTGTTTTGCAAAACTATCATCCCAAGAATAAATGTGTGTGCGTAGGATGGATAGGATGTGTGTTAAAGTCACTGCTGTCAGTTTTCATGAGCATAATGCGGTCAGAGTGTGTAAGTCAGGCAGTGTTTTAAGACTAGATGAATGTGTCCATGAGCATTGGTATCATTCAGTGTGTATGTGCAGAACTGTGGCTCCCTGGCACAGGGTCTCATTCTCACTGCAATGATTGTTCTGGCATGTCTCCTTAAAGCAGACAGATATGTCATAACTGAACATTTCAGAGATAAAGAGAGAGGAAGAGAGGGTAAATTCAACAGGCCTGTCAACACGACTCAGTCTCACTCCTAGTCAGAGCCTTAGACGTTACACCCATGGACTACCCATAGCCCCTTCACTGACCATCTCAAGCATTTTATGCGCAAAACTGTCCCAATCTGGCAAATTGAGTCTGATCAACTGGCTTAAAGCAACATCCGGCAATAGTTTGATTTTCTTTGTCTTTTCTTTTCCTCTAATATAATCATCATCGCTACTTGTTTCAGCTGTTTCAACTTGTATTCTTTTTTCGAAGTCTGCTTTCTTAGCTGACGTTTCTCTTTTCTCTTTGGCTTGATGGTGTCTCCCTACTGCCAGCTCTTCACTCTGTCCCAGAACAGCCAGGACACCACACGTGTGCCAGCCAGCCGGCGACATCGAGACTGAGACACCGTGTATGTGTGAAAGAGAGGAACAAAGACTCAGCAGATGGAGAGACAAACAGGAGAAGAGGAAAGATAACGAGAACACAAGCAGATGATCTGACAGTGGAAAGAATGGCTTTCGAGATGAGAAAACACACAGGTGACAGCGCTGAGATGAACAAACAACATAAGACACTCCACCCACACACATACATTCCTCCCACCCCACCCACGCAGACACACATTGACACTTGAGTTGATCAGAAGCAATGATATCTGGGCTTGAGATGAGGCGGTGGAGTTCAGGGGTCAAGGGACAGGGAGGTGGTGGGTTGTAACCCTAAACGTCTGAGATTGAAAAGTAGACAGGCACCTCTTACGTTTATGCGCGCTTGGTACTCGGCGCTACCGGCCGAGTTGCGTGCGGCGCAGCGGTACACGCCCCCGTCGCGGATCTGGGGGTTGGTGACGTTGACATGTGAGACAGTGGAGCCGTCGGAGAGCGTGTACTGGCTGGCCCGGTGCGCCGAGTCCCGCGCTACCGGCTCATCATCCAGTGTCCAGGTGATGGTGGGTGGAGGGGCACCTTTGGCTGCACACATGAGAGAGAAGGGCTCGCCAGGGGCTACCACTCGTTCACTGAAAGACGAGACAATCCTTGGGGTGCCATCTGACAGAAGAGGGAAGAGAAATAAAGACTAGGTTAGAATTGCTAAAAATCCACAGCTGAAATTAATGTGACGTGATTCAGTGTAACTAAGGTTATCTTATCTTGAAAACATGACCTAACCAGTTTTTCTGCCAAATTTTTTTTTTACCACTCTAAAATATATTCTTTAAAAAATATCTGGGTAAAAAAAACTAAAACTTTTTTTTCCCCTTTGAACACAATATATTTTATTTATTAAATATTTAAAATATTTTGGGACATTAAACATGCGATGCTAAATAATTCAAATGAATCATTGACTTCTGCTGTTTCCATTAGTTTCTAAAACACAGATTACTTTACAATTTAAAACAATATCTTTGGATATAATTTTCTGCTGGAGATACTGTGGTACCAAAAAACGTAAAAAAAAAATTAAATACAATTTATTTTTTAAAATTTACATATACCTTAGGAATAGTATAGCAGAAAATGTGTGCAGTTTTAAAACCTTGACTTTTCCAAACCTTGGTATACCTTGAAAACGGTTATTGTCTCATGCCTACTAGGAACTATGCTCTCATTCTAGTGTAAAAATCAAGGAACACACAATTATGCTAAGCTAAAAGTATGATAGCCAAATCTAGAAATTATCTGAATGGATTACAAAAATGGTAAAACTAAAGTGTTTAATTCTAGGTCATTTGTCAAATGAGCCAATTTCAAAAAAATGTGTTTTGAGTTGAGTTTTATTGGTTTGTGTATTTCACAGCATTAATAACAAAGAGCAAATTGTACCTGTTAATGGAAAACTGTTCTATTGTGTCCATAAAAATTAAGAATAAAGTGTGACCTGCTAAAAAGATCACAGTAATCTAAATTTGAGCTACACTGCAGAGTTAGAATCAGAACCACAAACTTCAGTTCTATTCAAGTATCTACTAATTCCACTTACCCTCAAGCAGTATGATTGAGAAATCTTGTGCTGTTTGACCCTTGCGGGTGGCAAAACACTGATATGCCCCTGAGTGTCTTTTCTGGGCCGCCGTGATGAAGAGTGTCTCATTGTGGGCTCCCTGGATGGAGAAATGCTGGTCAGGCACAATGGGTTCTGTGTTGCGGAACCAGGAGACGGTAAAGTGAGGTGAGCCCTGAACGGCACAGGATAGAATCACTGTGCTGCTAATGCCGGTTTTTAGGTTCTTGGGAGATAATGTGACTCTCAGAGGCTCTGTGGAAAAAGACAAAAAAATATGTTTGAGTCTCAGAGTGAAGTCTTGAGACATGTTTACAATTTTTGTTTAATAATTAGAATCTTGTTTTTTTTGATAGATAGATAGATAGATAGATAGATAGATAGATAGATAGATAGATAGATAGATAGATAGATAGATAGATAGATAGATAGATAGATAGATAGATAGATAGATAGATAGATAGATAGATAGAAAAAGAAAATGTCAGTGAACAATAAGGCAGCTGGTGTTATGTGCTGGAGGCCTGTGTGTGTGTTTGTGATGGTGTGTGTGTGTGTCTGGGCATGTGTGCTCGTGTGTGCCCTCCTCCCCTCCCCTCCTGTCCTGTCAAAATCTGTGTGAGCACACCGGTGTGATGTGCCCACTGGCTAAAAGTCCAAATGTCCACCCCGCTGCCCCTCCCTCTATTTCCCTCTTCATTTCACATTAAGACTCCAGCCAATACCATCCACTGTCTAAGATCCCTCCTTATGCCTGCACAAACACACATAGATTTTTTTGTAGAGCAGGAGTCAAGAGTATAGAGGCCAGAATGGTCTCTCTGTCCTCTCACATTACTTTCTTTTTTAGTCAGCAAGAAGGTGGCAGAGGCCTACCAGTGTGCCAACATCTCTTAAACACAAATGGGCTACCTTCTTACTCCCTGTTATACTATATTCAATATATCTTTATTTCTGTAATATAGTAACACAAGTAATCTAGAACATTAGATTGGTCTGAGCCTGGTGTCAGTTCTCATCCTAACCTGAATTCTTTCCTTTGGGTTTGAGGACTTTGTAAGATCTAGACAATTCAACACTCTGTAAATTGAAGTAAACCCCAAAAGTGACCCAGATACAGATGTGGGTTTTAATGTCTCCGCCTCCAAATGGTCGGTACTCTTAGGACCTTAGGACATATATCTCCATCCCTTAAACTTAAAATCACACAGCACCTTATATTGACAGAAAAGAACAGATTTAATTTAATATATATATATTTTTTACATTTACTAAAAAAGAAAAACTGAAATTTTACATGGTCTTAGGTATTCAGACCTCTTGCTGTGACACACATTTAACTCGGATACTGTTTTTTTCTTATGATCATCCTTTAGATAGTTCTACACCTTCATTTGAGTTCAGCTGTTTGATTATAATGATTGGACTTGATTAGGAAAGTCACAAACCTGTCTATATAAGACCTTACAGCTCCATGTGCATATCAGAGCAAATGAGAATCATGAGGTCAAAGGAACTGCCCGAAGGGCTCAGAGAATTGTGGCAAGAAACAGAAAATTTTGCTGCACTTAAGGTTCCTAAGATCACAGTGGCCTCCATAATTCTTAATTGGTAGACGTTTGGGACTACCAAAACCCTTTCTTGAGCTTGCGGTCTGGCCAAACGGAGCAAGCGGGGAGAAGAGCCTTGGTGAGAGAGGTAAAGAAGAACCCAAAGATCACTGTGGCTAAGCTCCACGTATGTAGTCTGGAGATGGGAGAAAGTTGTAAAAAGTCAACCATCACAGCAGCCCGTTACCAGTTAGAGCTTTTATGGCAGAGTGGCCAGACGGAAGCCTCTCCTTAGTGCAAGACACAGTATGTCTGTGATTCTGATGAGACCAAGATAGAACGTTTTGGCCTTAATTCTAAGTTGTATGTGTGGTGAAAACCAGACACTGCTCATCACCAGTCCAATACAGTCCTAACAGTGGTGGCAGCATCATGCTGTGGCTATGTTTTTCAGCTGCAGGGACAGGACAACTGGTTGCAATCGAGGGAAAGGTGAATGCGACCAAGGGATATCCTGGAAGAAAACCTTTTCCAGAGTGCTCAGGACCTAAGACTGGGCTGAAGGTTTACCTTCCAACAAGACAATGACCCTAAGCACACAAAGGAGTGGCTTTAGCTGGCTAGTAGGGGCTCATCATATCCTTTCTTCTGGTTCACAAGAAAGGTGTTGAAGTCTCAATGAAAGTTCTATATGATTTGTAGGAATGTTTTGTGTAGGATAAAAAAAATACATTGATCCAAGAAAAAGCACAAATTCTATGATCCCCAATCTTGGTCCTGGATGCCGAATGTCTTGTGGAGTTAAGCTCTTAGTTTGTTCAGTACACCTGTCCTCAGGGAAAGAGTGTGGTGACCTCTGCCCTACTTAATTATACTTTGGTGAGCAAGAAACTGCTCCTTGATATCTTGTCTTACAAGGACACCCCAATCAAGAACACATAATGCTATCCCTGTTCTTAGGCTTGTAATAATGGGACTGAAATGCCAATCAAATCCTTGTGCTATACCTAGCCCTTAAATCTAAGTTTATATGAATTTTTCTTTCAGAATCAACAAGGATGTCAATACAAGAACATTTCCCACTTAATTATTTGGCATGTTTTAGTGAAAACTTTAAACTCAAACTTGTCCTTTTCCATACGACAGTGTAATAGTGACATCTTATGCCATATACTTCTGTCCTCCAACCAGTCCTTGTTCTTGTCCCAACCTCCTTTCTCTTTTTTGCACTTTATTTTCTTTTTTTCTCTCCTCACCAATGACATTAAGGTGTCCTGTGACCTCTTTGGAGCCAAAGCTGTTGGTGACTTCACAGATGTAGTTTCCAGAGTCCTCTAGGCGGAGGTCACTGATTGTTAGGCCAGTCAGTCGCCGTGTCCAGCGGGAATCTGCAGGAAGTGGCCTCCCATCTTTTAGCCAACGGATGGTGGGATTGGGGTAACCGGATGCAATGCAGGGCAACTCTATGCTGCGTCCCACTTGTACCTCTCCTGACTGGAAACTATCCATCACAGAAGGCGTGGACTCAGTGGGATCTAAGGACATAGAGAACACACTTAGAAAAAGACTAAACAATTATAGCCAGCCATAACAAGTCTGGTCATTTACAAACATAATTCTTAACCCTTGTGTGGTGTTGGGGATGTTTTTATCCACTCTGGTGTGATTTTTGGGTCTATTTTTGTACCCCTACCCCTTCCCCTTGGCCCTTGAAATGTGTAAAAGGGAAGGGCTTTAAAATTTACCTCTAAGAAATAGGACAGCACTACAACACCTGCACACGTCATCATATGTCATCGCGATCTCATGCTTCGTTTGAGATCAGACAATCGCGACTGTTGATGTTTTTCCAGTTGCATTATTTTTTTGATATTTAGGCAACAATATCATGTTGTCATAACAATATAATATGAAAATAGGATCACAACTTTACTGTGCATTACCGTGACCGCATTCATAAATGTAAACACATAAAAACAGCATTAATATTATACCAGACACCTGAAAAACATCATTCCCAACTCATTCCCAATTCATCGAGTGACAGAATGTTGTGGGACTTCTATACAGGAGTTTTTATTAGGGATTAAAGATAGCGAAATGTAGTGGTTTTTATTTTAGAGTTTTTTTTTAAACCATGACAGTAAAACATGAATGCGGTTTTGAATGTATTGAAACGTATGCTTGTTTGTTGTAAAAATTCTTAATAATAACATAAAATACTAATTTGTGTATCTCCTTACTTCCGTGTAAAGTCATGATGTCATTGTAGATGGTGTATTCTGGGAAATTTTCTTACCCCTTGGGGTAGGCCAGAAAAATCTCCATTTAAAGGGGTATCTAGCCCATCCCCTCATGCTGTGTTCACACCAGACTCGGAATAAGTGATTTACATGTTAGGTCAATGCAAAGGCGTGGATAGACATCCTGCGGCTCGATGCATGCAAATGAGGCGGCGTGAATGACGTGATTCGCGCGAATGAAGCGGCACAAGTTGAGTGCTTTGCACAATTGATGCAATTGATGCACTTAACACGTAAATTTCTCGAGTTTGAAAATTGGAACTTTAGCGGAGCTTTCTCTTGTGGGGCCGTGATTATGATGTAGTGCCTGTTGTTGGTGTCTTAGGGGAAAATAATCCTGAGGACACCGACAACAGTTCATCAAACTGGGCTCAGCTGAGTCAGAAGCACCGCTGAAAGCCTCCATCATCCAGGTACAGTTTCTGGAAGAGTTTATGAGCTCACAGATCTGAGTGCACCTCTAAAAGAATCTAGTAGACTCATACATGGCTCCAAACATATCGACGCTGTTTTTCAGCCTCCATTAAGCAAATTAACACAGCTACTCTCTCAATAAAATCCATGTTAGCCATTTAGCAACAAAGCTTGAGTCACCAGGCAGACAGAAGCCCTGCCCATCACGCAAATCCGCGTCTATTGCTCAGTGAATTTGATGTGCGAATGAAGTTATGAAACTCAAAATGTTCATGCATCTCTTTACACATGTATCCGCGCGTTCTGCATCTGGTGTGAACACAGCATTAGCCCTATGTCTTCAAGTTAAAGAGAATTGGGACACCTCTACCCCTTTATGTGAACACCCAAAACAAGGGGCAGGGGTAAAGGGGATGGGCTAGGGGTAGAAGGGGTGGAATAGGGATTAGGCCTTAATTTGGCCTCAACTTTCTCTGCGTTTCAGCAAATGTGATGATTTTTGATGATAAATCCTATTTTGACACATTTTTTAGAAAAATGCTCTGAAGTTTTTTACTATTTATTTTTTTTTTGCAAGTTTTACAACAGTAAATATGACACATTTTACCTTCCCAATAGGGAAAATCCCCAATAATCAAGAATACATAATTATAAGGTGTCATGGCTTCAGTCCATCAATGCAATCAATAAATGTAATTTATAATGGTAGTCAATGGTGCAAAAAACAGTCACAAACAACGAAAGGGTAGTACATTTGAACAGTACATGAGGGTTAAACATAAAATCTTATATATATATACACATAGGAAGCACATGAAATAGAGTAACAAATGTAGCATGCTCACCCAGAACAGAAAGACGGGCCCCATTGCTCTGCCTTGTTTCTCCACTGTATTTGTGCTTGGTGATGCAGCGGTAGGTAGAGAGGGCATCCTCTTTCTGAACGTCAGATATGTAGAGGGCCCCATATGACGTCAGGAAAAACCTGTTACCTGAAGACAGAGAAGAGCTGATGAGGGGAAATGCCCTCAAAACAACTAGAAACACTAAATCCTTTACAAATCTTAATTTTTAACCACTTCCATTTCAGACAATTATAGTAAACCACAGGTTACAATTCTCATGCAGAGATAGAAGGATACAAGTAATCCATTTTCAAGTGATAAAGACAATGTTTTATTATTTGATGTGTATGTTATTGCATCAGTATTGTACTGTCATATTCAGTTCACACCAGTTAGGCCTGACTCCTCTCTGATTTATCTATAAATCCATGAAAGCGTTTTTTTTTTTTTTCTCACCCAGTAGACCCAGAGAAAGTCCAGTGTTTCTCAACGTTGTATGAAGGTACACCGACAGTACACATTTTCAATCTCTACCTAATCAAACACACCTGAATCAATTCATCAGAACACAAGAAGAGACTTTAAAACCTAAATTTAATGGGTCAGATAAGGGAGAGATCCATAATATGTACTGTTGGTGTACTGCCTCCACGAATAGGGGTGGGAAGTGTCATAGAGTGTAAAAGAAGTGTATATGTTAGTGATACATGGCTAGCCACCATTTTTATACCTAAATCATTTAATGGAGATGATAAAATTATGGAAAGCACTGAGATTAAAAACAGAAAATGCTTTATTGATTTTGTATCCAGAGAAATATTATCAGAAACATCTAAGACGACATAGATAACTTGATTGAAACATAACCGAGAGGTCTCCAGAGCTATAAAAAAAAGCAACCTCCAAGCAATAAAATGTGAGTGTGCAGAATGTAAAGGAAGAGTTAGTGTGTTCTACTAAACTGCATCACTGGACATGATAACAATGGCAAAGTATGTCAGTGTGTGAAAACAGTCAGTCAGTCTATGTGTCCTAGTTTTTGCAGGCAGGCAGGACGCGTGGATTGGGCCAACCATACTGTTATGAAAAACAAAACAACACACTAACTGGACTGGGGGTGTAAAAATCTCAATATACACACAAGTCTGACATAAACACACTATAAGAACAAACCAGGCCCCAATATTTATATTTATTCGACCATAGCTTCACTCTTTTTATTCATTATTTTGCAGCAGCGCCGCTCTTCTTATTTATTTTCTTGCAGCCCCGTGAGCAAAATGCAGCCTGCAGGTTAACGTTAATGATGATGTAACGTTAACTATCATCATTCGACCCCAAACAGCGAATTCGAGAATTCAAATAATTAATAATAATGAATAATACACCGGGTCAATGAAAATCAGATGATTCACTACATTAATAAATCTGACATAACTTGATCAGAAATCTAAAAAAGGTGAGAAAAAGATTAAGACCAGTTGGTAAACATGTTGCGTTATGACGCCGCCGGCCCGTGTTCAAATCTCACCTGAAAAATGATTATAATTTTTTTTTCATTTTTATTGTTAAGACATCCAATACTGTTAGGGCTTTTGAACATTTGAATTTCTAAAGCAGCTGTTTTCTTGAAAAAGATGGATAGTGTCATTAGAAACTGAATTGGAAATGACCTTATTTTAATATAGTCAGTAGTGAACTGAGGTGGGCCGGTCTGGCTTGAAACTCCAGGTCTGAAAATGAGTCCCACTCCGGCCCTGGAACGAACTGTTAAGTATAGGTCAACATCTGGAGTTTCTGCACTGTGACTCATTACAAATTTGGAGATGTTTATACATTAATGCTCATGGATCATTAGTTGACTATTTGCCATGTGTCTTGTTTATTCCTCTATATTAGGATACAATTGTGCATTCAAAACTCACTCAACAAGACACATCGTTCTCATAGAAAGCAGGGTTACCCTGTGGGGTATGTGTATGTGTGTAGTTGTGTGCGTGAAAGATGGCGATCGATGCATTTTATGGCTCAAGAGCTTCATCCAACGCAGATTTATGAAAGCAGAGAGGACAGGCTTGACTCGGCAGCCCACACACACACTCCATCACTATAACAAGCAGCTCACTCACACACACACACACACACACACACACACACACACACACACACACACACACACACACACACACACACACACACACACACACACACACACACACACACACACACACAAGGATAGTAGCTAAAGAAAAGACAATAGCTGAAAACAAAGATGAATTCAGTGTGCATCTATGTGAATGTCATGGCCATGTGATAAGTCAATGGAATGAAGTATGTCAGCACAGAGTTGGGTGTGTGTACGGGTGTGTGATTATTTGTGTCACAAAAATTTCTTGCTGAATGAATATTTGTGCAACAGCTAAGCACAAGCATGTGTGTTTAAGTGAGTGTGTGTAGACGTAACACAGTGTCTGCGAGTATTGTTGTCACGCTGAGTGCTAGGCCCAGCAAACTGTAATTTAAGAGTCGGCCCTCGCGCTCCAACCTGCATATTAAGCCTTACAGGATAATATGCACTTGGTGACTTTAACCCCCTACAACATCAGCGCAACGCTGTCACAACATTTCACCCGGAGCGAGAGACCAGGGAGGGAGAGAGCGAGAGAAAGCAAGGTAGTCAGTGAACAGTTTTGGTTTAATCACAGTCACTTGGATCTATTTCATTGTGAAGGCTGGTAAATTAAATATCAGCAACCAGGGAGACAAGTTCTCTCTTTTTATTTTTCACTCCACAATTTTTCCTCTGCTGCTGTATAATGATGCACAAAAAAAGTGAAATATTAAATGGGTAGTTCACCAAACAAATGAAATTTCTAAATAATTTACCAATGTTGTGTAAAATGAGCTTCTACTGACGAACACAGAAAATTTTTTTATAAAAAAAGTATACACATATATCACACACACATTCTGGTCTATTTTTAATTCGCCCATTAAACATGCCAACATGCCACATTTCATATCTTCAGAAGTAAACCATATTGATGAATTGATAGATTTTATGCTTCTATTTTGTTCATTTTCATAAAATCTGCTTGCCATTAACAAATAGTTAGTGAAACTTCATGCATATCAGTAAAATGCATTTTAAAAAGTTTTCGATTTTTACAAAATGACTGCTAAAAATAGTTGTGTTTTTTTGTTTTTAGGCTTTTCTCAGTTGTTTTAACTGTGTGCAAGTTGAATGACATTTAAAATAAGGTTAACAAACTATTTAAGAAAGGAGCATGTGAAATGATTGATTGTGGATGGTCTCTCCTCTGTAATCAGCAATCATCCAATCAGATTGATCTAAGCCTACAATGAATAGACCAATTTCACCCTACGGTCTTATCTCCGTTTTGGAAGAATCCCCTCTTTCACCTCATCTCCTCTTTTTTCTCCTTTTATCAGGGGGAGCTCTTGCTAGGGGATCTCGGACTCCACTTATATGCTTATTGACCCTGGGTTCAACTATCCCAGAGCTCAAGGTTCTCTCCCGGGACAGCATGCCAAACCTGCCAATAGTGTCAAGCAATATCTAAGTTTAAACTCTTGAAACGTAGAGCAAATATTTTCAGGCAGCAACATTCTGAATTTCTCCCATGTTTTTCCACTAGTATAACCCCTTTTTAGTTGTTTAATATATTTATATGAATAAATTAATATTAATTAATATTTATATACGGTTGCGTAGTGGATAGCACAATAGCCTCAGAGCAAGAAGGTCGCTGGTTCTAGCCCCGGCTGGGTCAGTTGGCATTTCTGTGTTTGCATGTTCCCTCCGTGTTCATGTGGGTTTTCCCCATAGTCCAAAGACATGCCCTATTGGTGAACTGAATAGACTAAAATGGCTGTAGTTTATGTGTGTGAATGTATGGTTGATTCCCAGTGTTGGGTTGTGGCTGGAAGGGTGGTTCTTTCTGATGTGGTGACCTCTGATTAGTAAAGGAACAAAGCCGAAAAGAAAATGAATGAATGAAAGTTGTAATGAAATTGTGAGCCATATTGCAAGCCATATTCAAACCCCCACTTCCCACTTGAGCACCACAGATTCTCTTTTGACTAAGCTAACAATCCAGCATGAATCCATTACTTTACTTGTTTACTTGTTACCGGTGTATGCCTTAGGAAACACTCTCATACCTGTTGGTGTGTATGTGTGACTGTACACAAGACATTTAACTTCACAGAAGAAGTGACCCACTGGGTGAACAGATTTACAAATGGAGACTGATGGAATATAAAAGAGACAGACAGAGCTATCCACATAGTCCCACGTCTCTTTGCGATCAGTTCTGTTTGGGAGTGTAGATCAATTCTTGTCTAGTCTTCCTTCGCCTTGAGGTGAGTGTATGTGTGAGTGCACGCAGGATTAGAGGGGGGCATGTAAGGTCTGTCTAAAACAAGGGCTCGAGTGTACCACACACATACACAGTTCTGTGGTTGTGCTGGAGTGTGTAGCGTGGGCAGCCTGGGGCATCATGTCAGACCGAGAGAAGAAAAAAAAAAATGTGGAATTGGATTTATGTGTGGAGCATGGCAACCTTCCAGTTACATCTCACTCTACACAGACTCCCAAAGGCCAGAGAAACACACTCACACACATATAAAGAGAAAAGAGGTTTATATACATGCTTGGGAATGTGTGTTTTTTGTTACAGGATGTCAGGAGGGCAGGCAAACGCTCTCGCTCTCTCAGCACAGGACTGTGTATGCAGCTGGGAAAGATCTGGTCTAAAAATAAAAACCCACCGGAAGTAAAGCCGCCATTTTCCTGCCATCGTTTTCAAGGTAAAAAGAACCAGAGTAAGAGATATGAATAGTAATGCCAAACACAATATTTTGAAAGATCAAAACATCAAAAACTGTCACACGAATGCCAGGGGACAGTGAGGAAGTGGCGGGGAATGACAGAACTACAGCAGAAGGGAAAAGAAAAAGAAGACGCTCACGAGATGAGAGAAAAGAAATACCGAAATATCACAAATAATAAAAAAAACGAAACAGAGAGACAGTTGGAAGGAGAATGTGCGATGACAGAACAATATACATGAAGATGGAGGGAGATAGAAACAAAAAGAGAGGGTGTGGGCTGAAGCTGTTGT